AGTTTAGTAAAAATGTACTATTTCAATAGCTATATACCTAAGTTAGGCAAATTCCATTTATGTTCACTGGAAAGAATATATTACATCCTCATAATATTGTACTCTCAATAAAATTTTTACATCTTAACAGCTAGGGAAAAATATTTAAAACATAGTATGTGTTTAGATCTCACATAGTAAAGTAAAATTCTTCGACCACATACAAAATCCTTGAATTTTCTCATTCAATCTTCAATGAATTGGAGACATAACATTTTTACTAAACTATTAGAAGAAACCAAGATTTGGATACACCAGGTAACTTGCTCAGGAGTATTCAGAACACAGCAAGCTTGATTGAAGCTCTTTGACTCTAAGTGACTTGCCTTTTCCACTTCATCATGTATGATTTTCTGACCAAAACACAAGAATTAAAAATGTGACTTCGAAAGCTTTTATGGTGATTGATAGTTTAGGTGGTTTGCAGAGTCTTGGTTTTTCAGACTTTGTTAAACTTTTCAGAAAACGTGTTGCTCAATTGTTCAAATGCTAAAACAACATTGTCTTCCTCGTTCTCACACAGCTCACGCAAGGAGACACTGCAAATAGAACATATATATATATAAATATAAATACTCATTTAAGTGGCATTAAATACTATAAAAGAGGCTTTCTTGTAACATGATGAAATAATGTTAGCAAAATATAGGGAACTGATAATAAACAAAATTATTTTTAAATTTGTACAAAATCCTGGTGTGGTGGCACACGACTTTAATCCCAGTATTCGGGAGGCAGAGTTATCCCATGACATGCACACACTCTAACTCACTATTTCTGTTCTCGTCTCCAAATGTCATCTTCACCCTGTATTTCCTGTGTTTTGTTAACTACAATTGAAACCTTGATCATCTTGACCAACTCTAAGAGGTTTGGTATCAGTGTCTTCCAATTCTACCTATACATGTTTCTCTAACTACGCTTCTGCATCATTACTTCTATTTCCTTAATTCAGACCCATCCACTCTCACCTGCAGCACTGTTACAGACCTCGAGACAGTCTTACACATCACACCACACATAGAAACAGACCTGTGACTCAAGCTTATGGTGCTGCCTCCACAGTGCTCAAACTACACAGTCCAAATTGTGTCATGTGACAATTATCCTCCTGAAATTGACCACATTTCTTTGGTCCTTCAAGAACTCAGCTTCTTAACATAACTCCTGTACTCACTGACTACTCTGAACAGCAAATTTACCCGTGGCATATCAGACGGTTCTTATTTCTGCACATTGTCTTTCTTTAACGTTTTGTTTATTTATTTTCATTTTATGTGTATGAGTGGTTTTGCCTACATCTATGTAAGTGCACCCATATGTGCAATGCCTGCAGATGTCAGAAGGGGCCAACATATACCCTGGAACTGGAGTTACAGATGGCTGTGAGCAGTGATGTGGCTGCTGGGAATTGAGCCCAGGTTCTCTGGAAGAACAGACAGTATTCTTAATCATTGAGTCATCTCTCCAGCCCCAATTTCTGCACTTTGATGGCACTATGTCTTCTGCCCCATGCTTTCTAACCTGGTCAAGGAAATTCTTCTTTTGAGATTCCTCTGCATCTAGATAGCATATGTCACTCCCCTAGCCACCACTAAAATATTACTGTTTGTAATGTTCCCAAATTTCTTTCTGTCACTATACTATAAGGGTATCCTCCAAAAAAAATGCAGGGATACATTTAATGCTTCTCTATGCTTAAAATATTTTAAAATGTCTTAATACTTTGATACTGGTTGGATGACTACATAAATGATATTCCTGAGCCTGGCCTTGGTCAGGGCTCCGGTGTTTCCAGAGGTTTTTCATTTCCTGATTTAAAAACAATTTTTGAGAATTTCGTACGTGAGTATTCTATCTGGAAGTTTTTGGGTTTTTTGTTTGTTTGTTTTTTTTTTTTTTTTTTTTTTTTTTCGGTTGCTCTAGAGATAACAACTTGGGTAACTATGAGCAACTGGAGGAATACCCAACCTCGAGATGCTCCTGATGGACAATGAATGCTATTCCCTTCCAGTTTTTCCAAATTTCATTATGTTTATAAGAATCTTCAAACAAGCCTGCTTCAGCTCAGATCAAAGGAATTTATGACCCATTAAAATGTTGAAGTGCATGTAGATTTGAGACACTGGGAAGGTGCTCATTTGACTAGGAACCATGTTCTGGTAAATGGAGCCTAAGGATGGAGGTGCTCGTGGAAAGTCTGATACTGTTCCAGCCCTACTGCACTTTGTTTCAGATGAAAACAGGAAGCCAGTATGAGCTTGGAGTCAGAGAAAGCACAGGGAAAACACAGGTGAGAGCAAGAGGCTCAAGGGCATCCATGTATGTAAACTGGAGACCAGACAGAGCCTTGGAGGACATTCTGAATGCTGAAGCATCATATATCTGACATTGTACTGCAATTGTGATAACTGAGAATGTTAGGATTCTGTCCAACGATGCTCTGGAATACTGTTTCCTGTTCATCCAGGGTGCCTGGGGCTAAGAGTCTACTCTGGATAAAACCTAATCTCAAATGAGTTTGGGAATTAATTCAGTTGGAGAACGTAAGCAAGAGGAAGTAGGAAAGGGAAATTCTGCAGATCCTCTGGGAAGTTGAAATATGTAGCAAACACCTGGATCATAGAAGAAAGTCAACATTTTTTTGAATAACAATTAAATTGCTGAAAATTATGAAGCGAATATTTAAAAATTACCATACCTGATTGCCTTAATGGTAAGGGAAAAATCTTTCAACATTTGGTAAGCTGCCCCTTCATGCATCCTAAACAACAAAAATATTGAAAGTTAATGGTACAAAAGGTTGTTCGTTGTTTATGTTCAGAACCATAGGCTAGTATTGCACTCAGCCATGATTAAAGAAGCTTGCTCTTGCAGTGGGTGGCAGATAATGCTGAGACTCATAACTGGTCAAAATACTGAGAATAAGTGACTTTTGAATGCTCATCCCTAAACAGGACATCTAGAGCCCCTCTCCAAGGCTCAGGGAGCATCACAGAAGAGGGGGAGAGAGAATGGAAAAGCTTCATGATGAGGAAGCCTACTGGGAAATGTTTCTCTGGGCCTGGTGGGGCCATGGCACTCAAAGACCCACTGCAGCTGAGACTTCCTGCAAAAGGCCTGCACAAGACAGGGTCCATAAATATTCAGTCACGGGTAGAGGGTGAGCTCATGAGACCCTGAGTGTCCCTGGGAACTAGAAGCAGTTGATGGCTGAAGAAGGGAGGGTCTGTGGCTTCAGTGGTGCAGCCACTGGTTAAGTCCCCCACGCTCCAGTGGAGAGTTCCCCACTCATGATCATTCAAGCACCCTGCTTAAACTCAATGGTTTGCAAAACAAAAGCAAAATGAAAAGCAGACATGTTGTGAGGGGGATATGAGTCTGTGGGAAGTGAATGTGATAGAATGCATTACATACATGATGAAGTTGCAAAACAATACATTTTAAAATACAAACCAAAGCATTACTAATGTAACAGCTACTTTATTAATAATAATAAATGAAATGTAATAAATGAAAGTGCTCTATGTTTCTGAGGACCATCAAAAATCTGAATACCTAAACATAATAAGGATTGCTGAAAATTTTATGTCAGGCATATTGAATTTCTGAGTTGGTGCATCTCTCTCCAAATGTATGTATTCCGCATCTGAGCCAACTTCTCTCCTCTCAGGTAAACACAAGAATATTCATCCCTTTTTAAACTATTGGAAAAATGGCTTCTGGGGCTGGAGAGATGGCACAGTGGTTAAGAGCACTGATTGGTCTTTCAGAAGACCCAGCACACACATGGCAGCTAACAACCATCCATAGTCTATAACTCCAGTTCCAGGGGATCCAACTCCCTCTTCTGACTTCCACAGGCATAGCAAAACACGGTTGCACTTACAAACATAGAGGCAATACACTCATATACATAAAACAAAAATAATAAATTTTTAAGGAAGAAAAATGGCTTCCCCAGCAACATGCTAAAGTAACTGCCATGTATTCAAACCTCAGACATGTGAATTAAACACTTCATGTGTTCTCCTTTTAGGTATTAAGCACTAAGAGATAACTATTGTCATTGTGTTTAAAAATACCTAATAATGCATAAGTAGAATGTAATATAAAAATATATCTGGGATTACTCACAAATATGTATGTATATATATATATGTATATATATAATTTGCAGAGCTGGAGAGCTGGAGTCATACACACACACACACACACACACACACACACACACACATATATTTCCAGTTATATCTTTATGTCAAGTGAGTTGGCCTAGATGCCAGTATTTTTCTGGTAAATCACAAAGAAAAATAGAATAGAGTATGCCATTGTCCCTTGCCATTAGTATAAAAGGGAAAAGTCTCACATGCTTGGTGTGATTAACCAGCACTTAAAATTGTAAAGAAGATTTTCCTCTAAAATTCATTAGAGAGAGGTAGGAGAAAGAACACACCTGTTGTCCTGAACTAATCCTACCAGGGATCCATGCTTGTAGAAGTCAAGTGCATAAGCATTAAGTGGCATTTTTCTTCCTTGACTGTCCATTCTTTGTGGACATAGCACAGGAGCCTGGATGTGACTGATGCCAACTGTGTGCAGAATCATCTAAAACAATACAGTTCTTAGATTGTTATTCATGTGGAAAGAAGGGTTATGATAAGCCTCTTAGAACATGAAGACACTGATTTCATAAATGTTTCCAAGTACACTCCAAGGGAAAGAGGACGTGGCTTCCACACACTGGGACAGTGCATCCCAGAGAACTGCTTAGCTCCACCTGTAAAAGTGAGTCCTCCAAAGTATGCTCATGGCAAGTCTGCCACCCAACCATTGGACTATAACAAAACTGACTAGGAGAGAAAAGCTAATTTAAATTTTTAACAGGCTCCCTATCAGTGCAGAGAATGTCTTTGAAGCAGAGTTTCAGAGAGCTGGAGGCTTGCAGAGAAAACTGAACAATTCTAATTTAGAATCAATTACTAAAATAAAAAGAGGATAAAGGAGAAGTAATAAAAATAGTTAATAAGCTATTTTCTCTGTGCATTCATTTTTGCAAACCATGTCCTGATGTCCTATGCAGTAAACAGGAATCCTGGCATATTGCTAATGATGCTGTGGACTAGCCCAACTACTTTCTAGAATGAGTTTGTAGTAGTGAGTACACTTGGATACTTTAATAGTTCCATCTTTTTATGACCCTGAAAATTCCTATCCAAGAGAAATTTGTACATGTGCACTAGATGTTAATAGCAACCTTATTCATAAAAACTAAAAAAGACCAACTATTCATTCACAAAAGATAAAGCAATTTGTTGTTTCACATCATAAAATAACGTGGAGTAACATAAATAAAACAGAGCTTCAGGTCAAAACGTGGGTGACTCTTAGAGGCGTAACACTAAGCACAGGAAAAGATACCTTCAGGAGACTACAATAATCATGCCTTCACGTTCGTAATATTAAATAAGAAGCATAACTAAAATGTAATTTGTAATTTTTCAAAAGAAAAATGAAAACATTTAGGGCATTTGAATAGGGGACATGGAAATGAAACAGAGAGGCAGCTGAGCCCAGAGCTGGCGGGGGGCTTGGGGGACGTGGAAATGAAGTAAAAGGGGAGGCACCTGAGCCTGGAGCTCATGGGCATCCACTACATTTCCATTCTTCCAGGCCATCAATAAATGTAAGTGTGCCTGTTTAATACAGCGTTGAACTGTAGTAAATAACAAAAGTGAAGTTTTAAGGGATTATCACTTGTACTAGTAAAACAAATGTGTATGAAGAGAGTTGGATCAGGCACAAAACAGGATATGATTAAATAATAATCTCTCAATACCTTGTGCCAGATGCTTCAAAGTAATTGAAAGAGAACCAGCCACACGTTTCTGAAACTCCATCAGTAGCAAGGTAGAGTTTGAATGAGTTAATGCCCTGTACTTATATGTCTCTTCTAATGGATGATGACTGTACAGCAATGAGACACATTCCAGTCTTTTCTAACTGCCTCAGTGTTCCTCTAAATCAACGTCCAAGTTTATGCATAAACAAATGAAAATTGCACATTCCATAAATTGAGTTCATTTCATAATAAATGAAAAGGAAATTATCTTTCTCTGCTCCTTTTTCTTTGTTTGCTTGTTGGATAAATAGAATTACACTATACAACCCTACCTAAAACTCATGTAACTGAGGATGGCCTAGAATTTGTGACAATCCTCAGCTTCAGCCTCTGCAGTACTGGGATTACAGGCATGAGCTATCACATCCATCTTGGAAAAGGAAACTATAATATTTAACAACTAATATTGTTTTCTTCAATGTATTTAAGCAAAAAAACTCTTGTATGTCAATTAGTTGTTTATAAATATCCCTATAAAATAAGGTAAAATCTTTCTAAAATCATTCCTCTTATAATGGAAGGTACAGTTCTTTATCATTTGTATACCAGATCCCAAATCTTCAAAAGAGTCTGTTTATAAGACATCACTCATTGGGCTGAAGAGATGGCTCAGTGGTGGTTACAAGCACTGACTGCTCTTGCAAGAGGACCCACGTTTGATTCCCCGCACCGAGTTCCAGGGGAATTCAGTGCTCTCTTCTGACCTCTGTAGATATTGCATGATACAAGTGCATTTCCATACATACATGCAGGCAATCCATCCATACACATAAAAATTTCTTTAAATAACAAATAAAATCTTTTTCAAAAGACACCACTTGTACTGGAGTTGAAGCCCCACAGAGATTAAGCATCACTTGACACTTACATTATTTGAAACTCCTGGATGAAGCAGATCACCATCGAAGTTCCCAGAGAGACAAGCAAATGGTGAAATTGCCACCCTTCCTTTGGTGCAGCTCATCAAGTGAGACACAAGTGGAGAGTCTTCACATTCTTTACCTGTGAATTCTGACCATAGGAATAGATTCATTTTTAAAAATCAGCCACAGTGTCAAACATCAGGTCCTCTAGAGCTAGCCCATACTACAAGGGAAGCCATTCAGCACTCCATGAACCACATCACAATGAAGACTGGGTGAACAGCACAGCGTAAGGAGGAATACATTCATTAAATGCCAGCTTTTAAAAGCACTAGTATTGCTGTTGTAAAATGTGCACTACCTTTAGGCTGATCAACAGGAAGTGGAAACATTCAGTTTAAACCATTATCTTAGTACGTTTCCTTCCACCAAATTCAGAGTTGGCTTTAGAATCTTTTTAGAGTGTTCTAAGCAGCCACTGTTAATTGGTTAGGAAACATCTATGAGGATACATATATTATTCATGTATGTTCTTAGAAAATTTCAGATCATATAATCAAAGTGGTCTCTAGTATGTCATTTAAGCAGAAAATTCACCTGCTCCCTTCTCACCTGTCCTGTGAAGCTGGAGCTTCCCACTGCTACCATCTGCTCTTATTTATGCTGCTCTCTACTTTAATAGGGTCCAGGAGAGTGCATGCTCCACCTCCTGGAAAACTAGCTATCACTCCCTCCAATTAAAAGCTTTCTTTATCTTATTCACCTTTTCCTATTTCTTTTCCCTTAGAAAGCTTCTATCTCTTAATCATAAATAAGAAAAACAAAACCAAACACTTTTACTATGCACTAAACCTTCTTAGTTCAGAACATTGACATGTACTAATGATGTAAAACCTTCCGACTTCTGAAGTTCACTTAAGCTAAGCAGTGCTGTTCTCTTTCTCAAGTATGTGGTGGGAAAATCAAGACATGATTATGGTGTCAGTTGCCCAAGATCTCTGAGGTTAAAAAGCAGCAGAATGCTGGGTGTGGTGGTGCACACCTTTAATCCCAGCACTCTGGAGGCAGAAGCAGGCAGATATCTGTGAGTTCAAGGCCAGCCTGATCTACCTAATGAGTTCCAGAACAGCTGAGGCTACAGGGAGAGCCTGTCTCAAAAAGATCAAAAAAAAAAAAAAGTAGTAGATCAAGAGAATCTGTCCAGAGTCTATGCCCATGAACACTAAGCATATTTCTTTCCTGTGAAGAAAAGAATAACAATTTCTCCCTTGTTTCTCTTCATCTCTGAGATGCCCTTACTCAATATTCTGGGATTGGATCAAAGACAGATCTTAATCAAAACAGTTCGTGACTACCATGCAGTATTTACTGCGGGGTGCCACATTATGGCTATGTCTAGATAAAGATAGCCTTACTTGGGGGCTGGAGAGATGGCTCAGTGGTTAAGAACACTAATTGTTCTTGCAGAAAACCCTGCTTGAATCCCAGCAGCCACGTGGCGGCTAACAACTGTCTGTAACTCCAGTTCCAGGAGATCTGATGGCCTCTTCTGTCCTCGCGGGCATTGCACAACATGGATGCACTTACCTACATGCAGGCAATACACTCATACAAATAAAATAAAACTAATAAACAATTTTTTGGTCTTTTTTGAGACAGAATCTACCTGTAGCTCCAGCTGTCCTGGAACTCACTATGTAGGCCAGGCTGGCCTTGAACTCACATAGAACCACCTGCCTCTGCCTCCCGAGTGCTGGGATTAAAGGCGTGCGCCACCACACCAGGCTAAATAATTTTTTTTTAACAAAAAAGATAGCCTGACTCTTGGCATCCATTTCAGCACCGAGTGGACCCAAACTGCTAAGAACCTGTTCCTTCAGAATTCTCTTGGAACCGTCCTCTCTCCAACAGGGACTCAGTCTTTCTTTTATTGAAAAGAAAACAATAGCATAAACAATTAGCAATTTAATCCCATCTACTGCTTGCAAACGAATGGGATAATAATCTTTGTATCTTTCTTGTTTCCAGTGAATATCCCAGCTGTTTGCATTGCTTTCTTGAATATGAAAATACACACACACACACACACACACACACACACATATTCATACAGTATTTGTGGGGGTCAAGGGCAAGGAAAGGTCATGAGAAATTAAAGCTATATGTTTTAGATTACAAGAAGAATTCAAGCCTTAGTAGACTCAAGCTAAGATAAGATTAACTTTTTGGTTGCAAGGTTAGGTAAAAGTCATTTGTCAAAGTATGCCCATATTGTAAATTCATTACCACAATAACTCTATTTAGTTCTATTTTTATTCTCCATTTCCCTTTTAGGTTCTGTTTTTGCTTGTTTTGTTTTTTGTTTTGTTTGTTTTGTTTTCTTGTAAAAGCAGAGAGAATACCATTATTCCAAGGCAAACTGATTTTTCCAGAGCTACAGTCTTCTAAAATAACATATCTACTCCAGTAACCTTTGGTAAAACTGGAGTTCTAACCACTGAGCTACATCACTAATGTTTAGATGATGTATTACTGGGCAAAATTTTTATTACTAAATTGCTTCATAATGAAACTAAAATACACTTACGAATTTTTGACAAGGGGAGTTGATATTCCTGTTTCATATCAGCCAATCTGGACACAATTTGTAGAAAATTGGCAAAATCCTTTGTAACTTGCATGTTATATTCATGTAGTGCAGCATCAAAATCATCAGGGAGGTCATCAAGGAACACCTGGAAGCCAAAGGTTTTACAGAGAGAGCTTGAGTAGCTTCCTTGAAAACTGAAAATTTTAGACAAGGAAGGTAGAGGACCTTTCAGTGCAATTTTGCAGTCATCTATTTATTCAATAAAGTCACTGTTTCCTCCTTTTCTGAGTGGAGTTGAGGCAAAAATAATTTTTGTTCTTATTCACATTTGTACAGATACTCTACTTATAAACATTTGTTTTGACACAACTTTTAAAAATAGAAGCATGACCTCAAATGACACTGGACATGTGAGTACTTCAAAGAATATACTGATACATTTCAAGAGCAAACAAGATAAAGCACATTTGCATGTCTGTGATAAAGTTCACTTTGTTAGGAGAGCTTTTAAATCCTTACTGTGCTAACATTGCTCATTATTTTTTTCTACCTGAGCTCATGAAAAAATATATATATCTCTAATTTTCTTTTTTTGTGATATTTATCTCTGACATAGAAAATATGTCCTCACAAAACATCTGTATTTAAGACTTCAGAACCTCAAGAACTGTAGAAAAAGTAAAACCTGCCTTTTATCAACTACAAAGTCCTTGTTAGATTAGGGGAGAAAAATGAGTACTACTAGAGACCATACTTAAAACCATCAAAAGAGGGGTTAGAGAGATGGCTCAGGGGTTAAGACCACTGGCTCTTATTACAGAAGACCCAGGTTAGAATTCCAGCACCCACAATCATCTGTAACTCCAGTTCCTGGGGATCTGACACCCTCTTCTGTCCTCCACAGGCACTGCACGACACAGGTCCACTTACATACATGCAGGCATAACACTCATACACATAAAAATAAATAAATGATTTTTTTTAAAGACAAAAAAGAGCAAAGGTGTAGGCTATGAGTGATCTTCATGGAAATAAATACAAGTATTTGTAACAGTTTGTAGGAGAAACGCCCCTCATAGGTTCATGTATTTTAACACTTGGTCCCCAGCTGGTGCTTTTTAGGAGGTTATGGAGCCTTTAGGAGATGAAGACTTGCAGAAGGGAGTAGGCCATTAGGGAAGACTTGGAAGGTTTACAGCCTCGCTCCCACCTCCTGCTGTCTCTCTCAAGTCTTATGTGTGGATATAAATGTAATCAGTCAGCTTCCTGCTCCTGGTGCCTAGCCTAGATTTGCTGTTGCCACAGTCTCTATCCTCTTGGAACTGTAAACAAAAATAAACTCTTTTCTTCCTTCAGCTTCTTTTGTTATGGCATTTTATCACAGCAGTAGAAAAGTAAATAATACAGTATTTTGATCAAAGACACAAATGCAAGATAATGCACCCTTCCAAAACTGACTGAACAAAACAAAAAAAATTACAATTGGAAAATTGTTCCTATGATGTGATCTCAAGTCAGAAGGCAATTTCCTAAATAACTGTAAATTTTCTCAGTGGTGGCATTATAATGTATAGTTTATTTCTTTTTTAACGCTGTAATTTGATGCAACCAGTGAAAAACATGAATATACTTTCATCCTATATTTCCTCAAGGCTTTTAATCTTCTGATAGATTTACCAAGGGGAATTTTGGAATTATAAGTGAATATCACACTAATTACAAGAACAAATTATTGTACAAAACAAATGAATTGTCATGTATTAATAAAATCCTACCGTTGCTAAATCATTTCAGATAGAATCTATTTCACATTATGAATTATCAGAAGATTTTACCTTTGACTGATAAAACTTGGTGTTAGCATCTTGGAACTTTGCTGGAAAATAATGTCTTCCAAAAAGATTTGCCAATACTAACACCAACTTTTCCATTACATCTTTAGAAAAACGACGTGAACCTGAACAAAACAAAGTTTCTTGTTATGTGTGTGGAAGAAAGGTCAGTCGAATTTTTCACTTTTAAATTAAAAGTTATATTTCTTTCATAGCAATTGGACATTTGAGACAAATGCGGCAACTAGGAAATAAACTTCATCTACTGATGACCTTTCTTTATCCTTGCTTCTAATCTAATTAACATCCTTGTCTTTCCAACTAAAAATTGCTTTATTCCCTCATTTTGGTCTACCTTAGCAAATGATCACATTTCATATTTTATTTTGATGTCTCTCCCATCTATTCAGCAGTCTCTTATGACATTTCAATTCCTGATAAACAAAATGTAACTGTCTTAGCTATCAATCCATAGATAGCATTCCAGTCCTGTCTCTCTATGACCCACACTAAACTACTGTCACTTGAGTTGATCTATTCTGCACAGCACATGAGCATTATGAGTGGTTAAAAAGTTGTGATATTCAATAAATTGGGAACTAGAGTCAAGTCTGTTTTATTTGAATCTTGATTCTGACTTATTAAAAGTCTAGGAACCTATCTATTTAATGTGTCTGTGCTTCAGCTTTCTTGTTTATGAAATAATGTTAGCCATATTTATATGTCTGATAAAATTATCAAATTTTCTATATTCATGTTCATACCCAGATGTACTATCCCTTCAGCATCAGTAAGGAAAACTGTACTTGCTATTGCCTGAAATTATTTATTTCTCCATTTATAGACTTTTGAGCTACAGTCTTTCTGACATATTTTTAAACCATAAAGACTATACCTATTGTGCTATCTGTGTCCACTGATTAATGATAGAACACAAAGTAAAATATGAGGTATTGAAGTCACCATGTGTTAGGAAATATCACAACCTTATGCACAAATATTATAATAAAGAAATATGTGTTTTAGGGACACTGTAAGGGATTTATTTTTAAATGTAGAAATCAAAGGTTTTTCATCAACACTACAAAATAGAATTTGTTTTTAAGAAGTTTGCCCAATAGGGACAAATGTTTAGCATTTATCAAGAGAAAACAAAATTCTAGATTGTCATAGTTAGCATTAGTTGTCAACTTGATATTCAGTTGTCAATTTGACACACCTAGGAAGAGGGAATCTCAATCCAGAAATTGCCTCCATCAGATTGGCCTGTAGGCATGTCTCTGGGGCATTTTCTTGATTGCTAGTTGATGTAGGAAGGTCCAGCCCAATATGGGTGGTGCCACCGTGGGTATCTGAGAAAGCCAGGGGGAACAATCCAGTAAGCAGTACTCGTCCATGGTCTCTGCTTCAGTTCCTGCCTGCAGGTTCCTGCCTAGACTTCCTACCATGGCTTCTGGTGGTGATGGACAGTCACTTGGAAATTTCCTGCCAAAGTTGCTTTTGGTCAGTGTTTTATCATAGCAGCAGAATGCAAACTAGGACATAGATCATATAATCAATTCAATGTCAGTTATCAAAGAATACTATACAATTATATTAAGAGAAAACAGTGTTGAAAGGCACCATTAAGAAATATTAATAGTGATTATCTGTAGGTAGAATTCTGGATTTTGTGTTTTTAACATCATGCTTTCATATACTGTTTTTGAGTGATGAGCATACATTATATTTAGTTTCAAAGAAATATATTTTTTTATTTAATTTTTAATATAAATATTGCATATTATTCAATATGTTCAACATTCTGGAGGCAAGGAACCATTCAAGTTAAAACTCTCAAGAGTAGAATTTTAAAATAGGTATCGCAAAATATAATCTCTCTTAGTAGTTAACTTCTTCTCATTTGCAAGCCTAGGTAATTATCTACATGTTAACTGTATTTTTCTTTTTTATTATTAATTTTTAGTTATCATGAAAAATAATGGGGTTTTAATGGGATTTTCATACATGTACATAATTATCCTTAACTCATATTCCCTTAACTGACTGTAGAATAGAAGTTTTCCTGAAGTTTTAGTTTTCTATAAATCTCTTGTTTTGTTGTTGTTGTTCCCATTGTGGAAAGACTAGATAGATGATAGATAGATAGATAGATAGATGATAGATGATAGATAGAGATGATAGATAGATGATAGAGAGATAGATGATAGATAGATGATAGAGAGATAGATGATAGATAGATGATAGATGGATGATAGCGAGAGAGATAGATGATAGATAGATGATAGACAGATAGAGAGATAGATAGATAGGTAGATGATAGAAGATAGATGATAGAGAGATAGAGAGATAGAGAGAGATGAATGATGACAGATAGATAGATAGATAGATAGATAGATAGATAGATAGATAGATAGATAGATATAACAGGTAGGTAGGTAGGTAGGTAGGTAGGTAAGTAGATAGGTAGGTAAAGTAACTTAAACTTACCTTTCTGAGTTGGCTGACAAAGATTATGGAACAGGCCTCTTACAAGAAAACTGACAAAAACAAAATTAGAAGGTTCATGGTAATGTAAATGTGATACAAGCCCAGCAAATCCTGTAGGATTACCTTCTTGATCTATATATCCCTACAAATAAAAATAATTTATTAGTGCGGCTCAACTCACAACATGAATAAACAGCTTACTCATTGCCAGTTTAAAATAGTACACAACATCAATCAAAGAGAGGTTGGTAACTATCACCTGGTTCAACTTTGATAATTAAATCAACTGTAAATAATACTGATCATTCAATATCACCTTCTAAAGATTGTAATAGTTCAGTGTGGCAAAAAAAAATCATCTAGATAATAGCAAACTTATTTCAAAAAAAAAAAAAAAGCAGAATTAAAACTGTACCTCTTTCACCAAGAGCTGCAAAGAAAACAGGAAGTAGAGCTTTAACATGTCCGCGGTTCTGGGTCGCTTGAAGGACAGTAATGAGTGCTTTAGCACTGACAGTGCCTACAAAGGAAAGCATTCTGAGTCACAGTGGTGAGTATGAAGCCACAACACAGGCTAGCATATATATGTGTGCGTGTGTGTATGATATATATGTATATATATATACATATATATCATCACCATTATACAAGATACAAATAGATTTCTTTTGTCATATTTACAAAGCACATCTTTCCTTTAACAAAACAGAGCACATAAAGCAAAATCATCAAAATTAAAACATGTTTCCAAGCAGTCTGATAATAAAAAGTCATTCCAGCTTAAGAGCTCACAACACTTGAATTGCTTTAGTATTCTACATCTGCAGGGTGGCTGCAAAAAGATTTGAGCTGGACTGACTGAACGGAAAAAAGTGAAACATGGCTTGGTTTCCAGAGTCACAGCATCAATGAACACGTAGCATTCAACTTCTCCTTACAGTATCTATGAAGTCACAACACAAGGAAAACTTCTTAGCATCATCCAAATGTCAGCCCATCTTCCATTACATCTGAGAGCTTGCAGAATCTAGAAAGAATCTCTATTTTCTTATTTTTTTAAAGATTTATTTTATTGTGGGGGGCTGGAGAGATGACTCAGGGGTTAAGAGTACTGGCTGCTCTTGCAGAAGACCCAGGTTCAAGTCCCAGCACCCACACAGTGGCTATCAACCCTCTGTATTGCCAGTTCCAGGGGATCCAAAGCCTCTTCTGACCTCCACAAGTATTGCACGGTACAGGTGCACTTACACACATGGAACCAGTCACTCATACACATAAAATAAAAATAGTAAGTAAAATATTTTTTTTTAAGATTTACTTTATTTTTAAACCAGGCACACAGTACACACCTTTAATCCCAGCACTTGGGAGGCAGAGACCAGTGGATCTCTGTGAGTTGGATGCCAGCCTGGTCTACATGAAGAGTTCCAGGCCAACTGGGAGGGGAGACTCTGTCTCAGAAAACACAAACCAAAAAATATTTACTTTATATTTGATTGCACATATATGAGGGCGGGGGGGCGAGATATGTGCATATGTGAGTGTAAGTGCTTACAGAGTTCAAAAGAGATCCTGGAACTGGAGTTGTAGTAGTTGTGAGCCACCGAATGTGGGTGACAGAATTGAATTCAGCTCCTCTCTCAGAGCAGTACACAATTAACCCATGAATCATCTCTCCGGTCTCAACTTTCTTTCAATCCAATATACTCAGTGGTAGGAAAGGAGAAAAAAGTAAAGGGGTATACCCTCCATCTTCATAACAGAGGGGAGAGCAAGGGCATTGAAAAGAGTCTTTATTACCCTCCCTTTCTGTGTGTGTTACAGCTAATCAGAGGAGGCAACAGCTGGGAAATAGAGTAGTAAGAGGTTCACAGGGGTTCACTGAGCCCTTAGTGTACACCTTATAAATAAACTATTTCATTGCTATGACAAAATATCTGAGAACAACCTAAAAGAATTATTTGGGCTCATGGTTTCAGAAGTTTCAGTGCATGGCTCCATTGCAGTGGACCTGCAGTGAGGATGCCGCTCAGCTCACAGCATCCATGACATAGAACAAGGCAGAACAAGCCTGCATAGCAACCTCCTCTTTTTCCACTTTCTATTCATCCAGGAACCCACTCTACTGGATGGGGCTGCCTACCTTATATACAACTGCTGTCCACTGTCCAGGATAATGATTTCTCTGGAGACGCCTTTGCAAACGCTTCCAAAGTATAACATAATTAAAATCTACCTCACTATTATTAAAGAATGGAATTGAGATGGGGGGAGGCTTTATGGAAGTGGAGATAACATGCAATGATATCAAAGGGGAAAGAGGATTAGTGGAATAGGAAGGGTTAAATGGGGTGGGGAATGGGAGGGTAGGGCAGAGAAGGGGGTATGGGGAGGGATAACTAACACTAAAGGCCTTTTGAAAAATTCATATGGAAACCTAGCACTATAAAAAGTTCTTAAAGTATATACATATTCAATATAAAAAGAGTTTAAATGGAGTTACCCTACCTATAATGGGGAAACTGCCTCTAACAGACACCATAGGCTAACAAATAAAACCCTAATTCCAGGATTCCCGCTTTTGAATTTTTTTTATTTATTTTTTATGTTTACGAGTGTATTGCCTGCATATGTGTAAGTGCATCCATGTCATGCAGTGCCCATAGAGGACAGAAGATGATGTCAGATCCCCTGGAACTGGAGTTATGGACAGATGGTTTAGCCACCATGTGGCTGCTAGGATTTGAAGCTGGTGATCTGCAAGAACAGCCAGTGCTCTTAACCGCTGAGCCAGCTCTGCAGCCCCAGATTCCCTCTTTTGAAACTGTTGAACAGGCATTCCACAGACCTTCAAACTGTACTAGCTATTGTCCTTGCTTTTTGGTTACCTACCAGAACTTGATGGTAAGACTCTATTGCTGAAGACACTATGTAAGTGAGTCATAAAACAAACAGGGAGAAATCAAGCTGACACTGATCTCAGAACATCTTTGTTGGATACCTTTCATAGAGCTGGAATGTGCTATGCATTCTACTAGAAGAGAAAAGTAATCATAAACCTTACCCAGAAAGGAACCATGCAAGCTACAATAGCAACTTCCCTAAGATATTTCCACTGGTGAAATAGTGTCAGGAGTGTTATGGGAGTAACAAACCACTTTCTGATTGGGTTTAAGGCCTGTTTCACACTGGCACTGATATCAGCCTAGGAGCTTGTAGCTACACAGGTCACAGGCCATAGGGGAAAGCCTACTGCTATTTTTCTGCCAAAGTGACACAGTATTAAACCAACTCCTAATGACTTATTGTTACATTCATATATGGATGTATCTCTCAGCTCTCACCAGAAAAGCTTCTTCTTGCAGCAGATGACAATTTCTCTCTCTCTCTCTCTCTCTCTCTCTCTCTCTCTCTCTCTCTCTCTCTCTCATCAATATGAAGAGAATAGGAGTGCTTAGCCCTGAACTGGGCACCTATATCAAACCCTTGCCTCCCAAGGCTCAGGGACCATTGTGGAAGATGGGGCAGAAAGACTGTAAGAGCCAGAGATGGTGCATGAGCACCAGGAAACAGTACATTCCAGACAGCCCGGCAGTTACTCATATGAATTCATAGCACTTGTGACTACATGCACAAGAACTACATTAGCTCAAGCCAAACAAATTCCCAGCATAGAGTGGGGAAGGTGGGTAAGAAGTCCTAATCCTAGCTGAGGAACTATTAGCAGCTGAGGGAAAGTCAGTGTTCTTTAAGGCTGTGATGCTGGGTAGGTTGGCCAGATTCCAGAAGATGGTCCCATACAGAAGGACCACAAGTTAAACCCAATAGGCATTGAAAAATTAGAGGACACGAAATTAGGCATGGAGTAATAGGGGGTAGAAATAGGGTAGCGATGTCTGACTATGATCAAAATATATTGTATGAAATTCTCGAGAGTTCAAGTTTTAGAAAGGATAATAAAAAAAGTAGAATTGAGCCAGGCATGGTTCCACATGCTTGTAATCTTAGCACTCAAGAGGGGGAGGTAAGAGAGTCAGGAGTTCAAGGTCATTCTCAGCTACATAGAGAGTTTAAGGCTGGCCTGGACTGTATGAGACCTTATCTCAAAAACAACAGCAACAGAAAACAGCTTCAACAGCTTGAAGATCTGCATTAGTGATATAGAAGACAAATATGCTTTTTCATAATAAAGAATGAGCTATTGAAAATTGGAAAGAAGAGAGGCTCCAATATAAAAAATTATAACTTTTCTTGAAAACTAAGTGGAATAAACAAAAGCAATTAACAAAATTATAATTTAAGAAAAAAAATTTTTAGTTCAAAAAACAACCTAAACATGGCAGAGCACTGGTGGATAAACTTAACCTTCCTGAAGTGTACATTCAAGATGGCTAACATGGAAATTTTCACAGACAATATTATTAGAATAAAAACAATTTGCATGTCAAGATTGCATGACCTCATCATGTAAGACCTGAACCATCATTCTTAAATGATATGTTTTTAAAAACCTGGGGAAAATAACTTGAAATAAGAAAACAAAGACACATTATTATCTAGGCATAAAAAAATTAAATGGCTACAAGGAAGAAATGGATATAGCTTTTTCAGTCAAGACCCCAGACAAGTGTAGCCCTGTGCAATACCAAATACTAAAGACCAAGAGGCAATCAGGGCAGAGCAATGGATGCTTTCTCTCAGGTGGGAAATCTAGATTTAAATGTGGTTGTCTGTGTGCATGTGTCACAAGTGTAGAAGAGAGAATATTTGGAGGAAGGAAGGGGCACAGTGGAAACTGACAGGGAAATAGAATAGGGTATGAGCGAAGCAATGGTGAATGGGCATGAAACTGTCACAGTGAAACCCACCATTCTGTACAAAGAATAGACATTCTTTAGAAGTACATTCTAAGAATTTTATGCCCACACTTAAAAGTAGGCTTAAGTAAGAGATGGCTACAAATCAGTCTTCCCAAATACAACAAAGTAAAGAAAGTGAACCCCCTTTGATGAGCTTTTTAGGAAGAAAAAGCAGGCTAGTGAGATGGCTTAGTGGATAAAGGAACTTGCCACACAAGTCTGATGACCTGAGTTTGAAACCTGCAGCCCTTATAAAGGTGTAAAGAGGGAATCCACTCTGCAAGTTGTCCTATGGCCTCCACATGTGCAACACAGCCCACATAACTCACCCCTTCACACACACACACACACACACACACACATCATATACACATCTACACATAAAATAAAGTTTAAATAAACCATCATTAGAAAATGTATCCCTCTCTATGGAGTGGTGAAAATTAAGAGCAGAAAAGATAGGGAAGCTTTGGTTTAAACAATGCTCTACAGAACGAGCTGAGCCATTACAAAACTTCCAGAATTCTCACCTCAGTAAGCTGTATCTAATTTAACTGGACATAATAATTAATATACAGAAACAGGAAAGAAGAGATTCTGCTGTGTTTTGAATGTGGTAGCCCTCTCCGGACTCATGCCAAAGTTTAATGCATATACTGACTTTTGTGTCTAGGAGTGGGACTTGGGGAGTTAGAATTAGGTGACGCCATTACAAGGGAGCCCCACATTAGCATTCTGGTGACTTTACAAGAGGAGGGGGAGAGACCAGAGAGACACGTATGCTTCCTGTCTGTCTGCCATGGTGTCCTGTATCCCTAGGAACTCTACAACAAAGAATGCTATCATTAGATGCAGCACTTCAACTTGGAACCTAGAATCATGAGCCAAAGAAAACCTCTTTTCTTTATAATTTACTCCATGTGTGGTTATTATGTTACTACCAATAGAAAATGAACTAACATGGGTCATTTTAACTGTATATTGTCACACAACTGGAAATCAAAATACTTAATTATGAATTTTAAATTCATGGTCATTATCACAAACCTTTTTCTGAGCCCAAAGCAACAGGAAGTTGTTAAAATCATATTTCGATGTCCAGTTACTCATGACCTTATAAAGATGCAAAACCATGCCTTAGAAAAATGACTAAAAAATACTAAAAAAATATAATAATTTGATTGCCGTGGTAGGCCTAGGTATATGTATTTACTTCTGGTAAGCCTAGGTATATGTACTTATTTTCTTTCAGTTTTATTCATTTCCTAAATATTTTTAATAAGTTTGGATTGTTTGTTATGAAAAATAAACTTTTTCTTCAAAATTATAAAAGAAACAAATATTTGTTTCTGAATGGTAGAAACTGGAATCTAATCCAGATATTTTTATATCCCTAGCCAACATCTCTAATTACAATAGGGAGGCATCTATCATACATGAAGACAGTTATCACGGGCACTTCCCAACACTCACACAGTCACAAATTCTGACTGATAATGGAAACAAATAAAAACTAAAGGCTGTTTTCCTCAGCTTCTCCAACTTTCTCTAGAGAACATTAGAATCATCAAAAGACTGATGAAAGTGAAGGGCTATGATACAGATCTGTAAACCTTAGTAGAGCAGATTTCAGCAAGGCCAGCAGTAAAGGCTGAAGCCCGGTTGTGCAGGGAGGGATAGCAACAGCACCTTTGCTTTGCCGTCCTCTGGGTCATCTGCCCTGGAGGCGAGTAGCATGAGTCTGAGGATCAGAGATATGCTGAGGGGGAACTGTCCCCTCAGCTCAGGAACTTTGGATTTTATGAGTTTTCCTATTTTGGGCAATGGAATATCAAAGAAATAGACATTTCCAAGCACGTCTTGACCTCGTCTTCCAGCACGACCAGACATCTGGAAACAGAACATAATCACACTGTGAAGTTCCCCTAAGTACTTTTCCTATCATAGTATAAAGAGCTGAGTTATTTATATTGCTCTGAGCAAGTAAATTATGCCTTAATGTAATAAATGAATATCCAACTATATAAGACCAAAAAGATTCCTTCATATCTGAGGCAGAGTTATTTTAAATAAGGCACATGGCATTTTCAGGTACTGGTTCCATGCCATTAATCATACCAGGTAGTTGTATAATGCTGCACAGAACAAAAAACAACAGAAAAGTAGACCCAGATCCCAAGTTCACTTCCAGCTCAATACCATCATATCAGCTTCTCTCCTTCCCATTTAGTCTTTCTTTGATTCCTGTCCCCAGCCCCCAACCTCACACAATTATGCCTTATAAAGAAAACACTGTATGTCCATCAAAGAAATGCATAAGTGAGATAATATTCAGAGATGCTACTTGTAAAATGAAAGAGCAAACTCTTAATTTTACTTTTATTTTGTGTGTGTGTATAGCTGTACCCATGATGTGCAATGCCCACAGAGATCAGAAGAACTGGGGTTATGGATGGCAGTTAGCTGCCATGTGAGTGCCAGGAGTCAAACTCAGGTCCTCTGCAAGAGCAGCCAGTGCTTTTAACTTCTGAGCCACCTTTCCAGTCCCAAGAACAAACTCTTTACAGAGGTCATATCAATTCTCATTTAGTATGTGGTTAGAGAATACTAAGCCCTCTCTTTTTTCTTATACAGAATTCATGATACCATAAAAGGTATATGAAGTCACTGTCTTTATTCACCGTGGAAACTGGGTGAAGATATTTATTAAAAATTACTCTAGACTAGAAAGTGTACACACAGTAAATAAGAAATGTTTATCAATTATCTTTGATATGGATTTTTCTAACAATCACTTCATTTAGTTTGTGTGAATGTCAAGAAATAGTGATGGTCAGCCACATTCTGAAAATAGGAAAGGCGTTTGAATATCTTACCCAAGGTCACACAACTGATTAGCAGCCATCACAGACTCCAAATTCATGTGCCTTCCTCAATACCACAGCTAAACATGATCACCACGAGTTCAAACTTTTCTTTTTCTTTTTTAACTGTTTTAGGCCTTATATTTATGAATATAGAGCAAGTTCGTGTATAATGTAATACCTGTCTGAAATTTAAAGCATCCAGATAGACCGAGTTTTGAGCAAAAACCACAGATTTACAAGGCATGTTGACTCCTAAAGCAAGTGTTCCAGTAGCTGTCACCACCTACAAGAGAATAAAACAATGATTCCATGCCCTGTTGTTTTTAAATATTTATTTATTATTTTATATGTATGAGTGTATTGCCTGCATGTACCTAAGTGCACCCGTGTCTCATGCTCTAGCGTTTTGGTAGAATGTAAGTATTTCCACATGATCACTCAATCTGTCATTGAACTTCCAATTAAATAACAGCGGGAAAGCTAGGGGTACTAAGCACAAAGATTTTTCTTCCTGTTTCGCAAACACATACAGTACACTCTCAAATCAAGGCTGCTACTGATACAGAATATATGCTTTCCCAAACATTTCAGTGTGTGGCTCAACTTTAACAGAGGGATCTCTGAACTACGTGTAAAATCGCTACTTGTATGGTCAGTCGCTGCCTCCCTGCACTGTTACCTCAACAACACTGTGGTTTTGTTCACTTGTCCTATACCAGGAACCAAGCATCTTCTTCACCAATTCTCTAGAGCCAAGAAAAGCACTGGCATGTGGTAAATGTTGGAGTAAACATCTTAACGAAATTATTAGAAGGGGAATTGATCTATGACAGGGAAATAATTCTTTCACAAACCTGCTTCCTGGCAATTATTTGATCTACTAAAATTCATTGAGAGAAATAGCTAAAAGTAAAGTAAGTTTCCTTTCTTTGTCCTGGTTTTCCATGATAACTAATCAGAAAAGGAAAATAGTGAACTCTAAAGTCTTTTTCATATAATCTAACTGCTTGCTCGTTTTTTACCTAATGTTATGTATTTTGGCCTGTCCTTTCTCTTTAAATTGTCTGAAAACTATGCTCTAGTCTGGTCAGTAAAACTGTTTAAGGTTGTAGATTAATTTTCTATAATTATTTTGTAACTGAAGTATATGTATCTGTCAAAATGAAGCATTCTATATTGTTTTTCTAAATCTCTTTAATAAACACAAAAATTGAGAAGTTACGGGCTTTACATTTAGAAAATGGCTAGAACATATATCTTTCAATAATGTATTCTCTATAATGAACTTATCTTTCCCCAGTAGCCTTTTTAAAATGTAGTTATTATTTATTACACTCTTAGAAACTGAGAAATTTCTATCATATACTACTTTAGCCACATCTCCTCTTCCTCTCCTCTTTTCTCTCTCTTCCTTGCATTATCTCTTTTTTAGTCTATGCCAAACAAAATTTAAAATGGATAATTTTTTAGTAGCCAGGGTCAATTGTTAAATATTACTGGATTAGGAAATTATCTAAGTGTTTCTGAAAGGTCTCTGGGCTATCCTCATGAACTTTCACAGGATGTACTAAACAAAAGATGACAAGCCCTTGGGCTGAAAGCTATTTAAGGTAGTCCTCCAGCCCTCTATCAGTGTAGGAGAAGCAGCATGTACTAGTGACACATCTGCAAACTCCACCCAGACAAGGTGGGGAGTGCTAAGAAAGAAGGTCTTGCTCTTATCTCAACTGCTGCATTAGAAAAAGAACTGTGCAAAATTCCAATATAAATGTTCTCCAAATCCATGAAAGAATATCTGTAGCCCAAACCATGTAAACAGAGGACAAAATTCCCTACAGATGATAAACAAAACACAGATGCATGCCAAGACACTTCCTACTCATATGAAAAAGGATAAAGGACATGATCAAACCCTCCTCCCCAATTAAATGACATCAGGCATAGGCAGTGACATCATGGGAAGTAAACAGAATCTACAACCCAGCCGACATAATTACTTGAGGAGAAACAGAAAGGGTGGCCATATTTCCCCAGTTCATGAACATTAGCATCATACAGTTACGTTTTCCACATTTACAATGAAAAACTTTACGCACCCTAATGAATCCTTTCCTGAAGAGAATTTCAACTAGCTGTTTTTCTTTGGCGCTCATTGAACTATGATGAAAGCCAATGCCCCTTCTGGCCAAACGTTTCAGTGTCTTTCCTTTTCTTTCAAATCTTACTCGCTGAAACACCATCTGCAATGACTAAAAGAAAAAAGAGGTTTAAAGTATTTCTTAAATAATTTTAAATCAATCAAAAATGTTTAAATGAAAAGAGTGTGCATGCTATGTAATGTTTGGCTAAATGAAGTCACTGTTAGGCATTTATTCTACATTATGATAAAGAACATAAAGTGACATCAATAGTCACTACCAGAAAATCTTCCCAGTTCTTGGCATGGACTAAGTCAGTCTCACCTCAACTCTGGGGTATAAAACTCTGCCAAAGCAGTACATAATACCCCAAGAGGAATATGAGGGTATGGCCTGTTCTTACCTAAACAAGGTCAAGTGACTGGAATCTTAAAAGTTCTTGCCAGAAAGCAAAGCAGAGCCCCTACCCTACATAGCTGAGGAATGCTTACTTTCCACTGCAAATTACACATAAATGGCCTTAAAAATACCCATGTTCCACAGAGGAAATCAATCCGGTTGTGTCCACTGTAAAATCCCCATTAAAACAATGCTGTGAATTCATGGTCATGAAAACTAAACAGATTGTGAAGTTGACAAAAGATGACACATGATATAATATATACTATATAATTATAAATATATACATATATATATATAAAATCCCAGAAGGTATATATGTATGTGTGTGTATTGTGTAGCCATAGGTAAATGGGACCAAAGCTAGAAGGGCAGAGAAATTTGAATGATGGCATTGCTTTTATTGGAACCAACTGTATTTTCAAATACATCTACAGTAGATAAGAATAATCTAAAGAAGTTTTCAAAGACAAAATG